CCACCTGTCCTCTACTTGGTGAGATGTCCTCACCACCCGCTAAACTGGGACCACAGGCTGTGTCGCCATGACACCTGGAACTTGACCAATGAGAACTCGCCACTCTGGAGTGGGGGTGGCGGAAGTCTGGGTCCCTTCCCCGATCTGTGAAGTAGTTGGTACAACTTGAATCAATCCCGCCTGAACCAATGTATCAAACATGCTCAGAAACTATTTTAAGGACTCCTGAAGTGCTGGGGTAGTAGTAGCAGCAGGCGGATCAGGTGCTTGGACTCCGGCTAGAACTGCTGGTGGCACCTCGGTGGCAGCTCACGCGGGTGCTCTGGCTGCACCACGTGCGCATCCTCGGCCTCTACCCCAGCCCCGACCTCTGACGGCTCTCGTAGGGGGCGCGGGTGTCTGGGCACCTCTGGTAGCACGTGTCCTCACCATCTGTGAGAGAATAGAAGACAGAGGTTTAGGATTGTGATGTCAAAAGTCTCGCAAGACAGGGAAATCAAAGGAAGTGGAATTTTCCTAGAGATTACATAGCCTCTCGTAGATAAGTACAGACGTCTCCGTACCGATCCGCGAGACTCTAATAAACCGGCTTGTGATTCATGACTCCTATGAACCTAGAGCTCTGATATCTACTTGTCACGATCCCGGTACGCCCTCCATGAACCAACGTGACGGCACCTAGTCTCTATGACTAGGTAAGCCTAATAATGCGGAAAAATAAACAAATTTGCGGAAGAAATAGATTCAAAACCGAAATAGAGAAATAAAACAGGGTTTGAAATGCCGCTCGGCATACACAATATCAACCCTCGAAACTAATAACATTTCCCAAAATCCGGAATCTCATGATCACAAGCCTTTGAATGTCTACAAGTATCTAACTCCAGAATATCTAACAAAGAAAGGAAATACAGAAGGGCTAATACTAAAGGGAAGAGTAGAAAGGGACTCTTCGGTCTGCGGACGCGGCAGATATACCTCAGAGTCTCTACAAGCACCTTGCCTCAAGCGTGATAAGTCCGAGTCGCAGTACCTGGATCTGGAAATGAAAAACATGCGCAGGAAGGGCATGAGTACACCACAGCGGTACTCAGTAAGTGCCAAGCCTAACCTTGGTCGAGTAGTGACAAGGAAGGTCAGTGCCCTACTGAGGTTAAAGGAAAATACAAGATATAATAATAGTGTAGAATAAAACAGTATACTTAAGTGCAACAGTAAAAAGGTAACACAGGATAGAAGAACAACAGCAACTTTAATAGAAACAAAGTAATCACGGAAAAACAAATACAGCTCAATGCAGAGATAACAACCGGGGGATCTCCCAGGATACCGTCCTATAGTCCCCAAATATAAATATCCAGTGGAACTCCCGGGTGCAGTCCCGTAGTCCAACTCATAAATGAGCAGGGATCTACCGGAAATCCGATCCGTAGTCCCAAATGTAAATATCCAGTATAGGGAGAATCTACCGAGTGCAGTCCCGTAGTTCCAAAGTAAATGTGCAGAGGGATCTACCGGAATATAAATTCGTAGTCCCAAAGTAAATATGCAGGGGGATCTACCGGGATACCGTCTCGTAGTCCCAAAGTAAACACACAGCAACAATACGAAGAAATACGCAATTCAATTCAAATTCCATACTAAGGTAAAACGGGTACTTCTATCCTAGCATGTTGCACATAATCCAAATAAGGCACTTTGGGCAAGTAAAGTAATTAATTCAATTAGACATGCTTCCCTAAGCTAACAACAGGCTCAAATTGCAAGTAGTATAAACAGGAAAAAGAAACACAATTAAAATTACTTAAAGAAAACCAGATTTTCAACAATTAGCACAAGTAAGCACTCGTCACCTCATGTACAAGGCATTTCAAATATAAATAATACCAAATCCTAAGGGGAGTTTCCCCACACAAGGTTAGGCAAGCCACTTACCTCGAACCGGCTCAAAATCAATCTAAAACCACGTTCTTGCCACAAGTGCTCGACTCCAAATGGCCCAAATCTATTCAATTCAATTGCATAATGTAAATAACACTTCAGGTAACTGATTCTACAAATAAATTCTAAGATAATACGCGAAATCAGGTAAAATGACCAAAACGCCCCTCGGGCCCACGTCTCTGAATCGGGTAAAGTTTATATTTTCAAAATCCTCATACTCTCACGAGCTCATGCATACTGAAATTATCCAAATCCAAGGTCAAAATTCGAATTCTAGGTCTAAGAACTTTCTTCAAACTTTCCCCCAATTTTCATCTCCAATCCGAAATTAAATGATAAAACTAACAATAGATTAGTGGAATATAACTAAAAAGGGTTAAGAAATTGTTACCCAATGATCTTCTCTTCAAAAACCCCACAAAATCGCCCTACCCCGAGCTCCAAGTTGATTTTTCCAAGTTTTGAACTAAACCCTCGATTCTGCCCCTTTTCTGCCCAGCGAAACCGCATCTGCGGTCCTAGAACCGCACTTGCGGTCCCGCTTCTGCGGAGACATGGTCGCATCTGCGACATTTCATTAAATGGGACTTCCGCACCTGTGACAGCTTTACCGTAGATGCGGTGCCGCTTCTACGGTGCCCTGACCGCATCTGTGGTCAACTCTCTTCTAGCCTCAAACCGCTTCTGCGGTTGGTCGACCGCTTCTGCGGTCTCTCACCTGTGGTCCTAAAGCCGCAGGTTCGGTTATGACAGCAGACTTGAAACTTCAGCTGCAACTCTCAACTCCAAACCTTTCCGTTAACCACCCGAAATCATCTCGAGGGCCCCGGGACCTCAACCAAAAGCACAGACAAGACATATACAACTACCCAAACTTATACCAATCCTCAAAGCACCTCAAACAACATCAAATCAACCAATTAGCATCGAATTCAAGCCTAAGAACTTCAAAACTCTCAAAATACGCTTTCGATCAAAAAGTCTATCAAACCTCGTCCGAATGACCTGAAATTTTGCACACACGTCACATTCAACACTACGAAGCTACTCCAACTTCCGGGATTCCATTCCGACCCTCAAATCAAAATCTCGCTATCGAACCGGAAATTTCAAAATTTCAACTTTCGGCATTTCAAGCCTAAATTAGCTACAGACCTCCAAGACACAATCCGAACACGCTCCTAAACCCGAAATCACCCAACGGAGCTAACGGAACCATCAAAATTCCATTCCGAGGTTGTCTTCACACAGTATTGACTACGGTCTAATTTCCAAAACTTAAGCTCTCATTTAGTGACTAAGTATCCCAAAACTCTCTGAAACTCCAAAAAATTCCTCTCGACAACTCACAATGGCAGAAACAAATACGGGGAAAGCAGTTAATAGGGGATCGGGGCATTAATTCTTAAAACGACCGGCCGGGTCGTTACACGTTATGATGTTATGTACGTACAGACCTATGCATTACATGACATTTATACGCATATGATATTATAAATATTTTATGATTTACAGAGCTAACCAGACTTATAGGTTGAGTCATTTACACCATGTTTCTTCCTTGTCCTTTATATACTGATTTACATGCCTTACATACTCGGTACATTATTCATACTAAAGTCCTTTTGTTGGGGACGCTCCATTCATGCCTGCAGGTATAGATAATCAGTTTGACGAGCTTTCATAGTAGACGAGATTGGCTTCAGCGAAGGATCGGTAAGACTCCACCTCATTCGGAGTGCAGCCGAGTCTCTGAGTCATCGTCTTAGAAGTTTTCTACAAACTTATGGGTAGGCCGGTACCCGGTCCCATTTGATGTCAAATAATATTAGAGGCCTTGTAGATAGAGGTTCATTTTGTACAGTATGTCAGAGGCCTTGACGGCCCATATGAATTCATGTTTTAAGAAAAATGGTTCAGTGATACAGTGTTCTCCACTTACAGTTGTACATTACGAGTTCTGGCCATGTTGGCCCACGATAGTTACAAAGAAAATAAATAAGCTACAGAGTGGTTCACTCGGGCCAGTACGGTACCGTGTGCCAGCCACGCCTCCCCAGGTTTGGGGCGTGACAGCGAACTCGAGCTAGATTGGAGTTGTGTGTCTTTGATGTTGATTTGGATTGATTCTGACTGCTTTTTGAGGTCGTTTTTGGTCGGAGCAGAGGGCTGGTTGAGGCGTGGTTTGTGGAAGTCTTTGGGTGGGGAAAGACGATGCTACAACAAGGTATTAGAGCTAAAAGACGTGAAGCAGAAGGAGCTTTTCTTTTCTCTCCGTTTTTCTATCTTTTCCAGATCCCTTTTTTTTTTCCTTTTGTTGTGTCTGTATCTATCTGTGTTGGATTGAGCTTGGGAGGAAGAAAAAAAAAGGCTAAAAACGTGTGGACTCCTCCCTCAGAAAGTAAAGCCGTGTGGACCCTTCTGCCCCAAAAGTAAAATCGTGTGGACCTTTCTGCCCCAAAAGTAAAACGTGGGGACCCCTCTGCCCCAAAAGTAAAACCGTGTGGACCTCTCTACCCCAAAAGTAAAATCGTGTGGACCCCTTTTCCCCAAAAGTAAAACCGTGTGGACTCATCTCCCCCAAAAGTAAAATCGTGTGGACCCCTCTCCCCAAGAATTAAAACCGTGTCGGCCCCTCTAATTTTCCTTTCTTGATTTTTTTCTAAAGATAATCTAAAATTAAAAATACTACACTAATATTTTAAACTAGAAATATGTACATAAACTACTAAAAAAGTTATAAAGTACTAGTCTTACCAAAGTGAGAAGAAAAAATACATTTTTGTGAATCTTCTTTTCTTTTGCAAAGGAAACACAACTAATATCTAAAAATGTAACTATTTTCATCATTTCTAAATTCTTTTAAGTAAACCTATAAAAAAGAAAAATAAAGGTTAAAATATGTAGTTAAAACTTAAAAGATATTTAAATATTAAAAAGTGGTAGAAAAATTCAAATATGGTCAAAAATTAGGTGCTCACAGTTGATGCTTTTTTTTTCTTTTCTCACCACTCTCACTAACACGAATTTTTTCAATCACATTCGATTCTTCTGGATTAGTTTGTTCGAATCCCTTTTTCCGTATTCTTTTCTATGCCATCAATATTCAAAAAATTTTCATTGTCTATAGGAGTTCCAAACTCAAATGGTTGTTCCGACTGAAACCAACTGCTTCCTTGTATACCATCTGGTAACACTCCAGATGACGGTGCCCACACATATTCACCGGTTGCAACAACATCCTTAAAACAATACTCCATCAGTTGTCGATGTTGTAAACCTTTTTCTCTAAATTTCTCTATATTTGAATTCTCCTACAAATGTGAAGAAGAACAAGAGAATTTAAAACACCAAAGTAAAATAAAAAAAATTGTGTTAAGTGAAAATTAAGTAGTAGAATTACAAGTACCTTTATTTTTCTATCCCACCAATATACACTCTTTTGAATTGTTTTCTTATCGGGGTCCCATCCTAAACCATTCTCTTTTCCAACTAAAGTATCACATTCTTTCCATGTACCTTTGAGGTTGTCCCATTTGTTCTTCAACTTAACTTTATTATAGTTTCTTCCAATTTTATCATTAAACTTTTGCACCAGATTAGACCATCCTAATATGCTAAAGTGAGTTCCAGGATGATTTTCTGCTAAAATTTCTTCCACGCATATATTTAAAAATAGTTCTATTGTTTCTGCATCCCATTTAGCCTTCTTAGAGTTGTTATTCAATGTCATTTTTTTGCTCATTTTCTTTTCATGCATTAAGAACATGTGGTTAATAATAATATTAAACAAATAGAGAACTAAAAATCTATCGTGTCAAAAAAATAAGAGCATCAAGGAAAACACTTTCAAGTATTAATCACTCATATTATTAAAAATCAGTGTTATCATTGGTACATGCAAGCAAGTTAAAAAAGAATAAAAATAAAGTACATACTAGATATTGCGTATAATAAATCGGTACTCTACAAAAAATATACATTATGAAAAAAGTACTTGTATTGGTTGTTAATTTGTTATTTTAAAGGGGAATAGGAGACAAAGAAGAAGAATCTGCACAAGAAAAAGGGAGAAGAAGTCTATTTATAGTAATCTATTCAAGGTGGGGATAGTTTTGTCTTGAATAAATTAATTTTCGGCTTCGGCTTCTTGGTAGAAGTTAGAATTTTCTACTTCTTCCCAAAAGCAGAAAAACCGCTTCTGCTGTTCGCCAAAAGTACTTTTTTATTTAGTCAAACACCTTAAATTTTTTAAAAAGTACTTTTTTGAAAATTTAAAGAAGCTTGGCCAAACATGCTCTTAAACTTTTCTAGAGAAAAGGATTGTTATTTCTTGTTACCCATACTAAACGTAAGTTGTCATATTTTGACTCTCATTGATGTTACTATTTTAATTTTCTAATTTGGTCATATGATTTTTTTTCAAAATCCTCCCAATTTAGGAGGATCTATAGTGTTTTTCACACTTTCTCTCCTGCGTGACTCGAACCCAGAACATAACGATCATGGATGGAGGTGCTTTACCAACTGAGCAAGCCTTACTTGTCAATCATATGATTTTATACTTGTATATTTTGTAAATTGATTGGTCGACAATCAGATCAGACATATCTCTTGGATCCCATCAAAGAAAGTTAAGGGTGGGGACATAAAGAGCCCGTTTGGATCATTGGATGAGCTTATTTTATATGATTTTTAATCCAAAATAACTTTTAAGTCATAAGTTAGGAATTCTAGCTTTTGACTTTTGACTTGTTTTTGTCATTTTAGCTTAAATCAAGTGCTTAAAAGTACTTTTTTACTTTATACAAATACTACAAAATGACTTAAAAATTACTTTAGCTTAAAAGTAATTAAAATAAGAGTCTGGAACCAAAATATGATTCTTTTGGACTCAAAGAACCAAAATGCGTGGAAAAAAAACTGGTGACCATTTTATATATAACGCCCTTTTAAAGGGCGCTATACCTTAACGGCCGTTTGCCCAGTTAAGTATAGCTCCCTTTTAAAAGGCGCTATATATATAAAGCCTTATACTACCACGCTATATATATTATGTGGGCCCACTAATAATTTTTCTAGGCTTAACTGACATAACAATAATTCAACTGGGTATAGCGCCTTAAGCTAAGGCGCTATACCTCAAATAGTTGTACCCCCGGGACTAGTTTTTGCCTTATTTAAAGAGGTTAAGGATTTTGTAAAAATCCATTCATAAATATTTTCAAGTCTTTTGAAATATTTCTTCGTTAAGTTATTTTGCATTTTGTAATAATGTCTGAAGAGCGAAGAATTAGGGTTTCATAATATTGGGGGGTGAGGTTTGTGGTGGCGAATAACTCAGTAAGCTATAGTTTATCTCCACGGTGTCATGTTAAGTTGTCACATACAATGGAGTACGATACATTGGTATCGTTGTTATGTAAAAAAAAAATGAGTGTGACCAAACGTTCGTGAATATTAATGTAACCGGAAGATATTTGTATTCTGTGACTTCGCAAGGGGTTGCTTGTTATGCTGAGTTTAACATCGAAGACGATGAAACTCTGAGAGATTTTTTGAGGACTCTGGATGAATACCGGGAATTTCTTGTGATGAAACTGTTGGAAATGTACGTCAAGGTTGAAGACGTTCGCAATAATGAGGTTGCGCAAAGTAGGGATATCCCTCAATCATCGGGTGGTTATTTTGGAGCAGTTTTAGCCGAACAGGTTTCGAGTGCGAGTTTGGCATGATCCAAACTTATTGTCACGACCCACAGTCCACTAAGGGTCGTGATGGCGCCGGACACCATTGTCAGGCAAGCCAACACTAAATAACCAGTAACTTCTCTTCTGAGATATTTCTGAATTCACTCCTTTTATACATTTAAACAATAAAGAATAAATTTCACCGAATAAATTATAATATTTTTAACAATATCAAAATACTGACTAATCCCATAGACATCCCAGAATCCGGTGTCACAAGTGCATGAGAAATTACTAAGAGAATCGAATAAAGTACAATCGCTGTCCGGAATACAAATTTGGACAGAAGTAAATACAATACGCTGAAAGAGACTATACTGGCTGAGGGTCGCCTCGAGAAATGCAACTCACCTAGTCTCCGTATCATCCATACTGCTACACCCAGTAGGCCGCTAGAAATACATGTACCTGTGCAACAAAATACATAGCAAGTGTAGCATGAGTACGAAAACAACGTGTACTCAGTAAGTATCCCGTCTAATCTCGAAGAAGTAGAGACGAGAGGTCGACTTTGATACTTACTAGTGGTCCAATAATGATACACCAATAATATAATAAATTGAGGATTTTTATAAAAATGGATGTAACTCAGTAGAATGAAGCAAGTAAATAATTCTTTCTTTTATAGGAAATTCCCAAATTCCTTTTCATCATTCGTACATTTATTCTCAAGCCGGAAAGAAACAATGTCCACTTAAATAAATTTCAAGGCAAGCAATACAAGCATGCGCAAATCATGCCAAGGTCGTAAGGCCCGATCCAACAATATTTAAATTGTGCACTGCCAGAGGGTCGAATGGCGCGAACCATAGATGCATCTATTACCCCACTCGCGAATCATACATGCGACGCGGTCAAACATAAATAAACAATCACCATGCTCGCGAATCATACATGCGATGCGGGTACACATAGAAACACATACCCAAACAGTCATTCAAGACATTCAACGAGGAGACAATTATTCAAGGAGGTGTAAATTTCCCTTTTTACAAGTCATAAAAATGAAGTTTTACTCTTTTAGAAAATTCCTTGCCACTTCGATATGATTTAAGCAATTTAAACTATCAATAAGGTTGTATTTATTACAAGTAAGCATGCTTTTGGGTCCTAGACTACCCGGACATAAGCATAATAGTAGCTACGCACGGACTCTCGTCACCTCGGGCGTACGTAGCTCCCACAATTAGCAGCACATATTCAATTAATTCACCTATGGGAACAATCCCCTCTTACAAGGTTAGAAAGGAGACTCACCTCGCTCCGAAGCCTATATCTCAATTCAAGAACGAGCTCAAACCTCCAAAGTGGAGCCGAACGACCCAAAAACTATTCAAATTGGATAAGAACTAGTCAATACATGCTCAAAAGTTCATATTCTAATTATTAAACAAATTTCCCAACCCTAAATGCAAGGTTCCTAAAATTCATTCCCGGGCCCACGTGCTCGGATTCCGCAAATTTTTGAAGAAAGTTGTTACCCACAACCAAAGGATCAATAATGCATAATTTCTACTTCATTCCATCACAAATATCGTGGTTAAATCTTGTTTTTATCAAACTCTAGGTTTTTCATCTAAACCCTTGATTTTCCCTAATTTTCACATGTTAATCCACCCATAATCTTTTTATTCAACTCATGTGGTGTAGAAATTACTTACTTCAAAGTGTTAGGTGAGAACCCTCTTCCAAAAGCTCCAAAATCGCCCAAGAGATGAAAGGAAATGAGCTAAATGGTCTAAGTCTCGAAATTAATAGCTGGACACAGCCCTCTGATGTCGCATTTGCGACACCAGGTTCGCAAATGCGAGGGTCGCAAATGCGAAGCCTGGCTTATGTTGTTGTCGTCGCAAATACGACCCAAGAGTCGCAATTGCGACTTCTGATGGGATCGCAAATGCGACATAGTTATCGCAAATGCGAACTTTGCCTAGGTCGGGATCCTTCGCAATTGCGAAGCCCTCCTCGCAAATGCGATGGTCGCATTTGCGACCAAAACATCGCAAATGCGGCCATACCAGTACCAGCAATCCCATTTCTTAGCAAATCACTTCGAAGCTATCCCGAATCACACCCGAGCCCTCGGGGCTCCAAACCAAACACCCTCACAAGTCTAGAAACATAACTCGGACTTGCTCGAAGCCTCAAATCACATCAAACAACGCTAAAACCATGAATCGCACTCCAATTCAAGCTTAATGAACTTTAAGATTTCAAACTTCTACTTTCAGTGTTTAAACCAATCAAATCACGTCCGATTGACCTCAAATTTTGTACACAAGTCATATTCGACATTACGGACCTACTCCAACTTCCGGAATCGGAATCCGACCCCAATATCAAAAGGTCAACTCTCGGTCAAACTTATCAAAAACCTTCAAATTTCTATCTTTAGCCAAATGATTCCAAAATGACCCACGGACCTCCGAATTAACTTCCGATCGCGCTCCTAACACCAGAATTACCATACGCAGCTATTCCCAGACTCGGAATCCCAAACGGACATCGATAACACTGAAATGCACTTCAACCCAAACTTATGAAATTCTTCCAAAAATGCTAACTTCCACAATAGGTGCCAAAACGTTCCCGAGTCTTCCAAAACCCGATCCGGACATAGGCCCAAGTCCGAAATCATCATACGAACCTGCTGGAACCTTCGAATCCCTATTCCGAGGTCGTTTACTCAAAAATCCAATCTTAGTCAATTCTGTCAACTTAAGGCTTCCGAAATGAGAATTCTCTCTCCAAATCAACTACGAACTTTCCGGAATTCAATCCGACCACGCGTACAAGTCATAATACCTGAAGGGAAGCTACTCAGGGCTTCAAACCACTGAACGACGCGCTAGAGCTCAAAACGACCGGTCGGGTCGTTACATTCTCTCCTACTTAAACATACGTTCGTCCTCGAACGTGCTGAGAACTGCACCGGAGTTGTCCGAAATCACTGTTTAACACCTTGAGCACCTACCCGTGCTAC